AGCTTAGCAAGAGAAATTGCGAATTTTCAAAAGAATTGCATTAGAGTTTATAGGAAATTTAATTTAATATTTCTTGTTGTTTATGTATTGGAATTGGGCATTTGGAATTTGCAATGATGTAATAAAAAGTGTATCTCACTGTTCATTTGCCATTTTTGATGTACATAGAAGCCATACATTACTAAATGAATAAATAAGTTTTTACCGGATTTTTCAAAAATGAGCCTGTGTCTATGTGAATGATACTTACCTGCATCCAATTGCATCATTGTTGAGCACGAAAGCCCGGCATCAAAGCGAACTTAACATTGACGCCGGCGCCGGCTGTATTTTTCCCATTGAAAATCTTCGAATTAAGGCTTGCATTGTTTTTTTTTCTTTAGTCAAAACATCACTTGCTTTCCTAGCGAAGTTTACTGTCAAGCAATGTTTTAATGCCAAAGCTAGGTTCAAAGAATCAAGAAGATAATACGCAAAAGCAACATATGATGGTCGCTCAACTGTGTGCGATCCAGCGCAATATCAGTGAACGTATATATATCATAGGTAGATTACGAGCATTAGAAAAATGGGATAACATATGCGTTAAGTGATGGATGAATGGAGAAATGAAAATTCAGTAGGGAAAAGCTCCTTCACGATATTTTCCACGTATTGTCACGGATGCAAAAAATTGTCATTAGTTTAAATATCCAAAAAATAAAATGCCACTGTTAGGTATTTGCAAAAGTTTTGATCATTTTTAGACTTGAAAAAGTCATTTATTGCGAAAAGCTGGTACAATATACATTGATCAAACTAGCTTTCATCATTTTGTAGAGCATTTTACAACATGGCGACATCATGTCGAAAATATTTACATTGCTTTGGCAGCGATCCACCCATCGGCCAATTTTCGTATTTCATCAATTTTTCCGACCCGCCTGCCAGCCAAGCTACGTTGCATCGATTCGAACAAGTGGTAAAGGAGGCGCCATGTCTAGTGAGTAGGCTGGCTGTCGGGCCGAACTTCCCATTTGAGCTGCGACAGTGTATCGTGGATAACTCTTGCAACAAGTAGCCAAAAAATGGCATTTTTAACCAATTCGTGTCGTCAATTTCAAACGGCTGAACTTAAAACCGACGATATTGGTATATGATGGAGTAGCATCACCATAAGCCTCTGAACGTGTTTCGTGGGCTTCAGCAGCCGATTTCTTCAAACAAAGAGTAAAAATGAATGAAAGCAAATGAATTTGGAAGAAGAAGAATTTTGAACGCTCCATGATTATCGACGGAGTGCGCTGGATACGATGGAAAACTGTTATTTTATGTAAAGGAAGGTTAAAGCCATCAAATGCAATGACTATGTACACTGGTTTTCTCCATTTGCTTATCATTTTTGTTTGTAGAAGTCGCTGATCAAAATTTTTGCAAAAAGTGAATCAAATCGTTCCTGCAAAAAAAAAAAAAAATTTGAAGCAAAAGTGTAGTCTTCTGCGAGCTGCTAAAACCTGATCATGCGGAACTTGGTAACCTCTGATCAATGTGAATAATGGATTGACCAAAACATTACAAGTTAATCTGACTGCGTGATAATGTATTAATGGGCATCGGAGAAAAAAGTAAAGGATAACTTAAAGGCACTTGCTTGTGTCACCCGACATATCTACCAGTTTTACAACAACAAGACGCAGAAATTTAAAAATCAAAGCTCAAAGCATCTCTTCTGTTTCAAAAATAATTGAAAGACATTGACAAATCTCTTGTTTGACCTTAACAGAAAAAAGTCAATTTATATATCACGCACACCAAGCATTAGTGTCAACACTTATTTTCTACTTCTTTCTTTTGTTATAAAAAAAGACAAAACCCAAATTTTACAGAGCCTATCAACCAAAACTTCGGCTCCATATTTTTACACTTTTCCGTACATCAGCAGATCTCTAAACGAAAATTTTGTAATTTCAAAGAAAAATTGTCGCCAGCAGCCAGTCATTGACCAACACTATGTTAATTCTTTTCAATCTTCAAATGATAAATGAGTTTGTTTGGCGGCTATCGATGGTAGTGAGTTGCCGTACTCTGTGAAACTTTCAATGATATTGTTTTCCATCTGTCGATTTTTCCATAGTTTATTATGGAAGAAAATCCGTCATAGTGAAAAAACTGCCTTCGGCAAATGAATACGCATAGCACTTTCTGCCTTACGAGAGCGAAGTTAATGAACGAGAGAAAAAAGGTGGGAAGAAAACAAGTTGTGATACTCTTTCGCCTAACGGTTTCAAAAGAAGTAAATCCCTTCGTGGCTTATTGAAAATCTTCAAAGCCGTATTCCGTATGCGGCGAACCCTTGCTATTAGCTTTTTAAAGCCTGTACATAAAATTCGAAAAGCATTGCAAACCTAACATTAAACGAGTCAATTAGGTAATCGTGATCATCTTTAGAAATCGCTATGTAGTATCTACGCTTTATTTATACAATGCATATGAAGGCCATCTGCTAGGAATTCTAATTGACGGTTATCGTGTGTAGTGGGTTTTGGTTGCAAGTGTCACAGCCCAATATTAACTATCCATCTGAACAGAGGGCAAACAGATGAATTGGTTGGGTGGAGTGGCGCACATCTTAGTGCCCTCAGAACTCAAGAATGTAATAATGTAAGTCGGAATAATGTGAAACTTTAGAAAGGGAAGAACGAATCTAACATATCCTGCGCTCGTAGGCAATCAAGGAGTTACTTCCAATAGTTCTAATGCATTGCAACGTGCCTTGTTCTTCTGAACCCCATACGAATATGTAAATAGATGTGTGAAGCTGTGTAACAATAAAGCTGCAACTTGATCGAAGTTTTATTTGTTTCTACAGTTATATAACTCAAGTGTAAACACTTTACAAATTTTTAATTAAAAATCTTTTCTTTTCTTTTTTTTTTTTTTTTTTTTTTTTTGCTTTTTAAATTGTCATAAGTGGTATCACATAAAATGTGATATGTGCGTACATATTGCAAAAAATACAAAGTCATTTTATACCTTTGTTTTGATATCTGTTTTCAATGCTTGCAAAATAGTATAAAGGAAAAATTAAAAAAAAAACAAAAATTGATTGTCAATTTTACCAAGAAAATTTAATAAAGACTGCAAGAAGATAGATATCGATCAAGATTATAGTAAAATACTCACAAATATAAAATTATTTCGCATCAATCTAACGTCAAGTTTATGAACTGCATGCATAAGCGATGTGTAAATATTTTATTTATGAATATTTATTCATTTAGCTTCTGTGCCATAAAATATTTTAAAATCTTTTCACACCTAAATGGGTCAACATGCATGCACATACACCTACATTTATATTTAAAGAAAAATTTTGTATTAATTCTTGTTCTCTGTGTATATTGTGCACACACAAAAAATGAAAGATATCTGTTGTGTGTTGTACGAAATTATATGCGAAGATGGTTTTTTTTCCCCTTTTTTTTTTTCTCTTCACTTTATTAAATTTTTTTTTTTGCTGCCAAAGAACTTTACTCTCAGTTCGTTTGAAAATTGAATTTCACAAAAAAAGAAAAAAAAAAAAAAAGTCTTACGAAATATAGTAGAATTTCAACAAAAAAGGAAAGAAAAAAAAATTTATTTTATATACATTTGGTCTTTAAATGTTTGTTTATGCAACCTTGATGCAAAGTTCATAAATACACACGTTTTATATAAGTCTACTACACATTTATCACCTTTCAAGAATACAAAGTTCTATTCAAATAAGCCTTAGTCGTGGAGACTGTTAAAAAAACAATTCAACATGGATTTCATTTTAAGTTTCCATTGACTGAAGCACAAACGGCAATCACAATCAATTCGAAAGATGTTGATCGCTGCCTCGTAAAGGCATACTGAGACTATTCGAACAAATTGGCCTCGTTAACAATCGACGGCTCAAGATGTTGCCATGATAACTGACTCAATTTATTGTTGCCCTATGCGGCTGCTTTCTACAAAAGCACGTCATATGCTTCGGTAGAAGAATTCATTTGTGACATAGTACTGCACGACGCAACAAAGCGCGCCGGCTTAAAACGCTTAATGGATATTTAAACCCAGATTATCTTCTTCTAGATTCTTTGCTATTAACAAGGGCAGTGTCTATTGTCAAATGGTCTTTCGGTCGGCTTCGAACATTACGGGTATCGTGTGAGTTAACTTGTCCTCTTTCCGTTTGCGAGCATAAGAAAAATGTTTGCAAAGCTTATAATGTTCAAAACTTTTCTGACGATTTTTACTTAGATGGTCACAATAATGAAAATAGAAAGCTGAATATTATTATTGTTATTATTATAATTTTAGGCTAATAAAATAAATTATTAGACTAAGAAAAGACATTGAGCACTGGCAACACGGGCTATCGGCTGTAATTTAAATAAATGTACATTAGATAATGAGCTTAGTAGTAGTAACAAAAGCTGAAGCTGACTGTAGAATGTCCAAAGGGTTAATCGTTCCAATTGCAATACTTCTAGTCAAGCAAAAGTTAAGGCAGTCGCAGAGAATGTACTTTATAGTGAGAGTTTGTCCACAACTGCAGATTGGGGGCGGGAAGGCTTCTTCGAGATTCATTGGTGAGTTGCAATTGTATGATCAAGGTTAACTCTCGAAAATGTTTGGATGTTGGTTTTCTCAACATTTGTTGGATACAAAGGTGGAGTTAATTGAGGGTTAATGGAAGAGTAGCGTTGATGATGGGATTGTTAATTTTCTTCTGCAATTTTCTCCTTAACTTTTCTTCCAGTGTATCTTTGAAGATCCAACTTTTCGATGACATCAGCAATGATTAGAGGAGCAGAAGCAGCATCATTTGCCACTCGACTTGGTACCCACAACATTTTAATTCTTCCGTCGGTAGTTGTAATTATATTCCTTAATTTGTTGATGGTGCTCCATCTCGAAGTCGAAAGATGCCAATTAGCTTGTAATACAGACAAACTGTCGGTAACAATGACGGTTTTGAGTTTGTTTTTATGGGCAAGGTTCACAGCGTGAAGGATAGCTCTGGCTTCGGTTGTGAAAGTTCAAGTACAGAAAGATGAATAATTTTGCATGTTCGAGTTAGAAATGGGCCCAAACGCCACTAGTAAGAAATCGTTAAAAGCCTCTTGCGACTTTAAAACACTTTTTACACTTTCCAATGCCATTTGTGTAAATGGAACAACGTAATTTAGCATAAATGAATTTTATTTACATTTTCTTCTTCTCTTCCTGCAATTCAGCAAATCAGCAACAGATGATTCACTGTGTTAAGTAAAAGAATTTCGTGTTTTTTCTTTACAATTATAACTAATTACAACTATTGTAACTAAACAACAACAACTTATCGCTGATAAAAACGCAGACCAAAAAATATTTACTAAATTTATTGCACGTATATGACAGAGGATCCATTTATTTTTGGTACAACGATATGGAAGTGGTTACACGAGTGCACTTGCCATGCCAGTTAATTTCACGATATCCCCTGGCAAAACGGATCATTAAAACGCGAACAGGCACCCGCGCAATTATACCCACACTGCAAGAGTTATATGAAATCTATGGCCCGTAGACCCCATTAACGGAACGTTTCCAGATCTCTTTGCACTATTTATTGTTTCCGCATATTTTGGTTTACTTTCCGGAAGGGCGTACTCATCAGTTAGGACTCAACGTCCTCTCTTGCTTAACTTTCCGTAGGCATATGCGCCATCATTGCACTCCTGCGTCGGCATCCCTCATGTAAATTCAACACAAGAGGTTTTCCTAAGCATATGCGAGTTAAATTGTGTGTGTGTGTGTGTGTGTGGGCACGTTGACCCCACGGTGCTTCAAACTTTTATTTTAGGCAACCATAAGCCTTCTTCTCTTCGAATCTTTAATGCGAAGCCAGACATCGTCATCATCATCCCCTTCCAAGATATATGCATCGGTATTTATGCCAGATTTAAGCCTTCTACCTTCGTTTCTGCGATTGTGATGATTTTACAAAGATTATAGATCGAATTGACCGCATAGAGATGCAAAAGACATCGCTAGTTCTATTAGGGTTCAAACAATTGTTGAACATATTGATCTCTTTTATAAGCGCGTGAGACCTTAAAAGTTCGGCTTGTTTTTTCACTGTCCTAAGGAGCTTAAGTTACACGCAATAAATTGTTTGACTTTACTATCATCAAACTTAAGTCATGACATTTTTCAACACCTAAAACAACTCTTATGGGTATTTTTTTTTTTTTTTAACTTTGCATATCAATTAATCATCATTTACTTTTAAAATTACTATTTATAACTGCAATTATCTATGATTATAATTAGTGCCGCTTCCTATAGGCATACAAAACTATTCTTTGAAATCGATCGTAATCAATTAGTGATTGGAAAGAATTGTTTTCCTAATCATTATAATTAATTATACGTTCGTTTCGCTTATTTATTATCATCCCAGTTATAATATATTATTAGAGAAAAATGTTTTCTAATTTAAATTTCTTTTTGTTTTTTTCCATATTTCTTGCAGATTATCAGCATTACTTAATACAAATTTTTGTATTCAACGAATATTTAATAACAGTAGTAAGTAAAATAATATTTGCAATATTTTTTTCAATCTCTTTAACATATATAATATATACACACATATGTAGTGTGTTGCTTTGTATTTAAGTTTTATAAATTAAAAATTTATTTTACACGAAATACTTTATTAAACGTTAATTTACTTGACTGCACAATATTTTACTGGTCTTTACTCGTTTCTTGTATTTTATTTTTCCTTTTTATTTTTATTTTTTATTTTTTTTTTTTTAATTTATTATTTTTCGTTTTGTGAAACGTAGAGCAGCAGGCGCATATATAAAATGTGTGAATTAATGAAACCGCTTTTTGGCACAATTCTCTTTCCGGAATTAAATGGTGTGAACTCAGTCAGTAGTAATAAAATGCTTTGTCTACGAAAGAGTTTATGGGCAAATAATAAATAATTCCATACACAACATATATACTCTCTCACTCAAGTGTCACAAGTGCAAGGGAAATAATGAAAAAGTATAAATAAATACGAAGAGAGAAAAAGGCAAAAAAAAAAAAAAAAATAAGTAAATAAATAAATAAAATACGAAAAAGTAAAAATATCTCAGTAAATTTTATTGTACATGCTACACACATTCCATCAGGAATCCATGTCAACTGTGGTAAGATGGAGAAAAATCAAACTGTAACCGAACCGTGACAGAAGAATATAATTGAAGAAAGAAAATTATATGAATATTATTAATAGCCTTCTCTCTGAAATGTGATAAGATTCTGAGGCGAACATCAAGGATTCCATAAAGTGTAAAGGTATTCCTCGAAAATCTGAGATGTAGAATCGCTTGATGCAAAGACCTGTTTTTCCCCGTCTTCACTAAGCTGCTTAAAGCAATCAAAAGCGAAATGCACTTTTACACAAACAAATTTAACACATATATTAGTTTGGGGAAAAAGAAATCCATTATTTTTATATGAACTTCAGGACTTTATTTAACATGCTTCGGATTGTCCGATTTGGGTCAAATATGCACCGTTTTGTTGTACGATTTGTTGCCAATTTAAAGGTAACTTCAAAATGTGTCTGTCATAGAAGTCCTGGTCTCTATTTGCAAAAAACTCTAGTAGTCGATTTTCACAATCCTTCCTAGATTCCAATTTTTTATCATTAAAAAAATTTTGCAATGCAAGAAAAAGATGATAATCGCTTGGTGCCAAGTCCGGACTGTATGGCGGATGCATTAAAACTTCCCAACCAAGCTCCCGCAGTTTCTGGCGAGTCACTGTAGATGCGTGTGACCTAGCGTTGTCCTGGTGGAACACGACACCTCTCCTGTTGGCCAATTCTGGCCGTTTCTGATCAATCGCTATCTTCAAACGGTCCAGTTGTTGACAGTAGAGATCAGAATTTAGCGTTTGGC